TGTAGACAGCTGGCAAGTTTTTCCGGAAAAGCGGCTGATTTTCTGGAAAAACTGGCCAGTCTAGACACAGCCAGTATGTTTGCCCCTCAAACAACCATATCAAAGATGCTGAGGAAACAGAAACAGCCACAATAATACAAATAACCTGGACAGCAAAACATAGGCCTGATCCTGCAAAAACTGAAGTCAACATCAAAGCTCTCATTCATTATAAGGGGAGAAGAAATTGCAAGACCTCATTATAGGCTTGAACCAAAAACTACCAAAGTCAAAAGGAGTCCTTTTAACTTCACTGATGCTGGATTCAGTCCTACTTGTGAATGTGGGAACCATCAAGAAAAGTTAAGTTTATTAGCCTCCCAGATTATGGCAATCCTGGTAAGGCAATTCAGTCTGTGTATCCATCGCTAGATTCTGTTGGAAAAGTTAGCTATAGCCAACTGAGAGTCACATGATCCAGCATGTAATTCTGACAGCATCTTCAGGGCCATGACAGGGAGTAGTCTGACAGGCCCTGTTTCGTGCAGACAGCCCTGAGCTCCTCACTTTGTTTATCAGGAATGTTGGAAGACTCCCTTGCTCACTCACACTGGTCCACTTGCACCTGAATTATACCTTGGGGAAGGAGGCAGAACAATGAGAAAAGGGTGTAAAATGAGGCAATTACTGTCCCTGGTGCTGCCAAGCACATGAGCACAAAATCCAACTGCTGCCAGCTTGCAAGCAAACAAGAAATCAAACACCTTTGTGCCTTGACTGCTAAGCCCTCTGTATTGCATTTCCTATGCTCATTGTTTGTGAATCTCTTAAGGAGGAAAGTACAAATCACAGGTAAGCAACCTGTTGGGTTTTTTTCTTCTTCTCACTGTTCTCCTTTCATCCTCTCCCCCTCTTCTGTCTGATTCTGTGGGATATTACTCCTTGTTTCCTACTGGCAATGGTGCTGGGTAGTTATGGTTAATATTTGAGCCAAGGCCAGGCAGGCACTTTGGGGAGATTTATAATTAGTTCAGGTACCAGAACAGCTCCATTAGTGAGTACTTTACAGGTTGGATTATTACATTATTTGGGCTACATTACAGCTCCTAGCCTGAACAGGGACTCGCTGTGCTCTTGCAAAGAGGCTGCACAGCAGTCAGAGTCAAGTCCCCCTAACCCTCCTGGCAGAGTCAGCCAGAATGCCTCAGTGAGGCTGGAGGCAGTGCAGGTGAGAATGAAGATTGAGTCCTAATTGAATTCACCAGAAGCCAGTTCAGCAGTACGGGCTGGTGCAGAATGGGAAACCTTACAGCCCTGCCCAGGAAATCAGGTGCTGTTAGACACAGGTAGTCCTTGAACTCAGTGAGGCCTGTGGCACAGGAACCAATGAGATGTGGGGGGTGGGAAGGCTTTTTATGTTTCCATCTTGCACACCTGCAGAGGGCCACCTACTTTCTCATGCTCTTGTGACTTGTGGCAAGGCATGGAACACCCACATAAGGGTTTCAATTCTGTGTCTCATCTACCATTAACTTGTTTTCATATAGCTGCACATTTGGGTCCAATTTTCCTACATTTCCTCAGGCAAAACACCAGTTGCAGTCAAGGAGAATTTTGCATGAGCAAGAGCTGCAGGATCATGCCCTTTCTATACTACTAAGCTACATTTTCAGTGGCTTGGATGCATTCCAGTATATTTTGTGCAGGTAAAGTACTAAGAATTATGGAGCTCCTGCAGAACTGCATCTTTACCATACGTCTAGCACCTAGATTCCATGATGATAGAGTACTGGAAATAAAACCTGAATAGACTAGGCAGATGGAATCCTTATTGCTAGGATTTGACCACTGTACGGTACCAAATTCTCAGGACCATGTAACTTGTTTCTCTCTGTATCTGGAATAAATTTCCAATTGCAACCAAGAATGCAGATGAAAGCACAGTTAAAAACACACACTTCAGGAATAAAGGACTTGATCCTGAGCCAGCTGACGGTAGTGCCAAAATTCCCACTACTTTCCCAAGGAGGAGACAGAGTTTGCTTCTGCATGCATGCATGCCAGTTTGGATGGTGCCTGATCATTTTATTACATGTTAAATATTTAAAAGGCTGCAGCAACAAAATTCAAGGCTATGAATTCTGCAGTCCAAAAGGGGGTATTTTTATGAACAAGTAAGTACATGTATTAATACTTAGTCCTGCCTTGGATCCAGAGGACTGAACTAAAAATCAGTCTTCTAGCATTTTATGATAACTGGAAGCTGATCTAAAAACTCTTCAACAGCTATCCCAAATGAAACTCTTGTACTGGGATTCCCCCCTTTACTAGCAAAAAATGTAATATGAAACCATATATTCACTGCAAAGGAATGTATTAAAGGAATAATAATACAGTTTACATAGTGAATATATATAAATCCTGTTCAAACCTTTATCCATATCTTGGCTTGCCAAACACAGAGGAAAGAATACATTCCCTCAATAAGCATGGCCAGATTCTTCAATTAAAGCATGCTCAGTTTCCTGTGTTTTGGCATGCTGATGCAGAAGAACTCCCCTATAGCCTCCAGATCTTTACTGAGCAACAGCACACATTCAAATCCTCCTCCCACCAAGAGTACAATTTTACAGGAAGACAAACAAATCCCCAGCAGACACCATGATAATACCTATCAGGTGGCACCCATGTTAGTCCGTAGAGGAGAAGCTAAGGATTGAAGGAAGACGGAAACTGACCTATCCTCAACTTAGAGTTGGTCTCTCAAGAACAGGGTTGAAGCAAGTTAGCTGGATGCATGCAGAGGCTTCTACTACCTTAGCGCTTACTGAAACTCTTCTGTGAACAGAGCACTTCTGTCTCCTGGGCTACGAAACTGGTGCCTGTCACAAGCATTAAAAGTAACTGAAAAGGAAAAATCATTGCCTTTCCCTCTCCAAAATGTTACTGACAGTTTAGATCTTTTCTAAAGCATTTGAAGACCTTTGTTCTGAGATGCTGTGCAGCCCCAGAGAAGGGGACAGCTTTGCCCATAGACCTGGGTTCCATTGCCAGTCCTCTCACTGGCTCACTAGTTGACCTGGAGGAAGATACAGCCTCCCTGCTCTTCAGTTTCCCTAAGGCAGGCATGTCCAAAGTCAGGCCCGCGGGCCAATTGCGGCCCGTGTTCCGGTTTAATATGGCCCCACAGGTAATTTGGCAATATCTATCTTTTAAGGCCCCCAACGAATCCATATGTATTGAGATGAATACATTGTAAAATCTCAGTTAATGTCAGTTGGTCTAAATCAGTTATAAATATATTTGGACACAACATGTATACTTGGTGTTATGTTCCTGTTCATATTTTTTGAACTTAAAAGTGTTATTGTTAGCTACTAAACACAAATGTTCAAAACACAGGAGACAATCTATCCAATGTTGATATTGCACAAATGGAAGAAATTAGTAAAGCACCCGTTGGCACTTACCCAAGTCAATAATGGAGGTAGATTAAGCAATACACACACCTGCTGTCAGAAGTGTACAATATTCTTTCTTTAGTAATTAGACAGCAATTATGAAGTTTATAGCAACTCCAGAAAGAATACATATTTCACAATATAATTGCAGTCTCAATCTGTCAGGAACAGCCACACTAAAACAAGATACAGCTCTGAAACTGAATTGTCCCTCCCCTCCAGGTACAATTGCTCAAAATACCTAGCCTACCCTTGCTAGGGTGGGACCTTTCACTTTAAGTCATAATTAAATGAGCACTTATTAGCAGCATGTAGTTGAAGCTGGTACTTTAATGTGACTAGCTACCTTACAGACATGTAGAATGAAAGCCAAGATGAGGTGAGGAGTTTTGGTGTTGGATTACTGAAAGCAGTTTTGTAAAATCAGAGGCAGTTCAGAGCCAAGTTTCAGTGTATCCAAGCCAACAAAGTTAAGGAGCTGGATAGTTTTGATTAAAAGGCTCTGATTTTGTCATCTCTATAGTAGTCAGATCAGGGTGATTTAGATCCCAATTCTGTTTTATCCAAACTAACAAAGACAGAGGGAGGGAGGGAGGGAGGAAGGAAGGAAGGAAAACAGTCCAGTTTGGATCCATCTCTACATTTGAAATAAACAAAATTTAGACCTGACATGAGCAGGCACAACCCCTCCTGATATTACTGGGAGATGTGACTGCTTACACTAATATGCATTTTTAAATTTCTTGCCTAGTCTGAAAATAATCTGCCTTGCTCAATGTACACAACATACATCAGCACTAAAAACCTAATTGAGTCTTTATTTCCATTAATTATAAGGAGAATACTCAGAATTCAAAGTCTGCTATAGCTGTTATCACATGATCTGACCTCCAGCATAAAACAGGCCATAACATTTCATATTGACTACTGCAACAAGCCCAATATTAAGCTCCATTTCAGTCTCTTTTTTGTGACTCCTCTTGGCCTGTATTTCCTTTGAAAAATGAAACCTGTTGTGGTTAACTTTGATAAAGGTAGGGCATATGTCTTTCAGTGTTTTCAGGCAGTAAGATTGTTTAGCTATCTCTTGCCACATCCCTAACAATGCTGAAAAGGTGGCATTGTGGTTTGATGGCTAAGATATTAGACCGCCTCTTGACAGAATGACTCAGTATCTATTTCTTTATCAAGATAATTAATTCTCATAATTGCCCTGTGAGAACTGAAAAATCAGGCATTCCCCTTTTCCAGATAGGGAAAATAGGACATGTTATGATTTAGGAAGGCCCTTCCGGGAGCTGTGCAAAGCTACAGAGTGAGTTAATGAAAACAAGCATCTATAGCACCCAAGCCTATTAAGCAGTGCTCTCAACAAAAGGTCCAATGCCTAATGAAAGATCAATTGGCAGAGGCTTAGCCCCAGATTTAGAGAAGACAAACTTCCCCTCCTCCCCCCCTCCCTGGGCCCAATCCAATGAACCGATGAGAAACATGTAGTGGGCACAGAGGGGGAGAGAGAGAGAACAAAAAAGGCACTAGAGAAGTATCATATTGCTACTCCTCCGTGCTGTAGCTCTATCCTCCCTCATCTTCCTTTTCTTTTATCAGCAGTGCAAGCAGGGTGGTATGCTTAAGTACACCATTCAAGCAAGATATTTATAGCTCGTGTAGCGTACTGGAAAGAGGAGCAGGAGAACGTGGGGCCGCAGTCCCTCCTACGCAGGTATATCACCCCCAGCTCTCCCACCCAGGATCTCCAAGTCCTCTGCAAAGCAAGTAAGTAAAATGGCCACCACGTCTTATTTCTATAATTCTTATTCTCCCTTTCCTCTATGCTCCTGCTATCTGACTTCCTTTGTTATATTTAATCTATGCTTTGGGGAAGGGACTGCCTCTTTTATATGTTCCAGTGATTTGGCTGTCAACTGTAGGCACTGAAGTCACTCTAAGAGGAGTATACTACACTTTTGTGTTTTAAGATAAGCTTCAGGCAGAGAGAAGCTTTAAAAGCAGAAATCTAAAGGGACAGAGAATGAATCATCTTTACATTCCACCATCTCAATGATTTCTGCATTCTCTTAGTTCTTCTTTATGTCATTCCCTCCAAGTGAAGCACTGTGCAGCAGACACTGCAGAAGGGGGGTACAAGACAAATTTTCTGAAGGATTAAGTGGCATAGAGCAGTACAGTTAAAAGGCATATCATGCTCCGCTTTCCCATGCACACTGCAGATGACCTAGCCATGTTCTCTGAGTTCCCTATGGCTGAGACTTGACTGTGGCCTCAGGGCACACACCTACAAATTGAGAGGACATGTGAAAATTTCCTAGTTCCCTTCTTCCAGCCACAGTCCATCACATTCTTTACCTCATCAATAGCACCCAGTAGCCTTGTCCCAAATCAGTCGCTTCCCTATTCCCGTCCTGTATTCTTACCCCCGTGCAGGCCTTTGGCCTGAGTAGCAGGATCATATTTTGAAACTGAACATCTTGGACACGCTTCCATTCTTGTATTCCTACTCTAAATATTTCCATTCTGTTTATTCACTGGGCCAGAACGATAGTGAGAATGACTCTATAGCCTGAGCACTTGCCTGGCAAGCAGGGACACTCAGGTTCCAATTCCTGCTCTAATTAATGTTTAATTATTAATACACAGAGGAAGTGCTCCAATAGAAGAGACTGAGCGAGACCTACACCAACATATCCCATAACAAGGTGCTCACTTGCAGTGTGGGAGACCCAAGTTCAAGTCCCTATTCCAAATGAGACATAGTAGAGATCTGGATCCAATAGACCACATTCTGGGTGAGTGCTTTATCTATAGGACATGAGAGGGGGCATCCTCATCTCCTCTGGTGATTTTAGGAATAGCATTGCCAGATGTCCTTTGCTTTCCACTGAAAAGCAGTTAAAATGCCCCAAATTGGAATTAAATATTCCATTTGGGGTGAAACAAAACATTCTGTTCGACCTGAATTTTTTTTCAATTTTTGTTTTACTAAAAACTATTTTGCATTTCAGATCTATCTGCTCCTTCCACTCCCTACCATAGCTGACCAGCAAGCCAAATACTTATTCATACTGCTCTGCTTATCACTGATATGTATCATTTGCTGCCCTCTGCCATATTTAAGTACATGGAAGATGGTATTCTTCTTGTCAATTCTTGCTGCAGTTTCTATATGGTTGAGTGCCAAAGGAGGTTGCGGGGATTTTTTTTAACTTTAGCTAAAACAGGTTTTTGGATGTGCTTACCATGTCTGTAGAAGCCAATCATAATGCAGAATGGAGACAGCAAATTGGCCCAAAGCAACAGGATTGAGATGTAGGGCAAATTTATTCCTGAAGTAATTCTACTGAACTCAATGGAGTTGTACTAAGGAAGAATTTGCACCTCTATCTGGATAAGGCTTCCATCATCAATAGCTTTGTCAATAAATTACCTCACTCATCAAGGATATCAAATCTATCTCCAGAACCTGTGCGCACAACAGACTGAAAAACTCTGATGCAAACTGTCAGAAGTGGACTGGGGGGAGGGTGGCATGTCTTTCTGTCTTTTTAATTAAAGTACTTCTTGAATAAATGTTCTGTTCTTTTTAGGGAACTTGAGTGCCTTCCTTTAAAAGAGGAGAGAGCTTTCCAGTTACACTGAAACAATCTGGTTCAGACCAATGTTTCTCAACCTTTTTTTTTTTAATAAAGTACCCCCTTTTTAAAAAAAAAAATTGTAAGCATCCCCAGTATCTACAGTTTTCAGACACACACAAAACATTTTCTACTATTGCAACACATTTGTTTAAACAACTTAATCGTAGCTGGGCGAGTCATGACATTTTTGGGTGTAAAAAGTACAAATATAATAAAGCACTGTAAAACTTAGAACAAAAAATTCAGTTTTCTCCAAGTTTCAGTTGTGATGTACCCCCAACGGTACTCATACCACTGGTTGAGAAACACTGGTTTAGACCAAGCACACATCTGCCAAGAGATTCATTTCCCCTTTGACAATGTGTCTGGATCAAGCAGTGGAAATGACAACTTATTTCCAATGAAGAGTAAAAATGTGACTTCTTGAGATGCTTTCAAGTGCTAAAGAAAGATTTATGTAGCCTCAATATCACTGTAGCATTTGTCTCAAAAGAGCACTTTGTAGTCCATTGCACCACACCCTTTGCTGTTTAAAAATTTTATTAAAGTGAAGGGCGTACCAAAAACAACAAACACCACATCTCTTTGAAAGGGTATGGCATGCACAGCAACCATGTCAAAGAATAAATAATTAACACTAGGGAAATAAAGACACAAGCGTGTTTGCCAAACCAAGATGTTGGATAGATCCAAATAGCCCAGAACATGGGTGGGAAGGAAGGCTCACAATGTGAACCTGGAACTCAGTTTAATAACTGGTCTGTATTTTCCTCTGGAAAGAGTCATACCAAAGCCACAGACCCAAACCTACCAAAAGTTGGGGAAGTTTATCATTAGTTATTTGTGACTGAAATCTGGATCTGAACTATGCAGCTGAGGCCTACTATAAACAATGCAAAGAAACAGCAGAGAGAGAAGGTGGGAGAGGTAATATTTTTTATAGGATCAGTTTTGGTTGATGAGACAAACTTTTCTGAAGAAAAGCTCTGAGTAAGCTCAAAAGCTTGTCTCTCTCACCAAGAGAAGAGTAATAGAGATGTAGCCATATTAGTCTGGTCTTGCTGAAACAAAAGACAGGACTATGCAGCACTTTAAAGACTAACAAGATGGTTTATTAGGTGATGAGCTTTCGTGGGCCAGACCCACTTCCTCAGATCAAATAGTGGAAGAAAATTGGCACAACCATATATACCAAAGGGATACAATTAAAAAAAAAGTAAACACATATAAAATAGACAAATCAGATTTTAGAACAGAGGGGGGATGAGGGGGAGAGGTTAATGTCTAATATCATTATCTCATAGGCATTAATCTCCTCCCTTAACCTCCCCCCCTCTGTTCTAAAATCTGATTTGTCTATTTTATATGTGTTTACTTTTTTTTTAATTGTATCCCTTTGGTATATATGGTTGTGCCAATTTTCTTCCACTATTTGATCTGAGGAAGTGGGTCTGGCCCACGAAAGCTCATCACCTAATAAACCATCTTGTTAGTCTTTAAAGTGCTCCATAGTCCTGTCTTTTGTTTCACAAAGAGAACGTGATCCAATCAAAGATATAACCTCCCAGACCTTGTTTCTTTAATATCCTGTGACCAGCACAGCAACAGCAACCCAGCATAACCCACGCATTAGCATTTCAGAAGGTCAAGCCAGTTGTGGGCACTCCCTGGAGAATATATTTCCCAAGATTCCAAGCAACCAGGCTGGTAGTTTATGAAAGATGTAAACCTGTTCTCACATGCCTCATGCCAAATGAAAGGAGGTTGCACTACGTATTCTCACATGCCCTTATGCCAGTACAGAAAAATGAGCAAGCAACCCCATTTACCTCTCACCATGAAGAAACACAGAAGCAAGTGAGTTGTTGCCACTATCCATTTAGAAATACAGGGTGAATGGCAAAACCGGTCTGTTAACGATTATCAAATAGCACTTTTCTATATGCCTGTGGAAGCTTTCACAGTTATCAGTATAAATATTATAACATCATCAATCAGCCCCCCAAAAGAGTATTCAGCTCCCCTAACAGAATGGGGCCCTATATACTTAAGACTGTCATTGCCTGGAAGACCTTATAGATTAAGAAGGCAAGAAAAGTGGAGGAGGAAATACTATTATCTCCATTTTACAGATGGGGAACGGAGGCACAAAGAGGTTAAATTACTTGCCCAAGGTCAGACAGGAATTTGTTGTAAACCTATGAACGGAACCCCACTCTCAAGACCCAAATCAGAACCTTAACTACAAGGTCATCCTTCTTGTGCTAGTTCCCATACAACCTCAACAGAAGGCACAGTCCCCACCCCAAAGAACTTGCCATCTAAAAACCAACAAGAGCTTGACATCTAAAAATACAAGAGGAAAAATACCTCATTTCAAATTCTAACCACATTGTGACAGTTTCCTGCCATACTCTTGGTCAACATGGCATGTGTATTTGTGAAGAGAAGACAGTATGAGACATCTGATGTGTGGTTGCTCCTCGTGACTAAGCATCACTGTTTTCTGCCACACCACAGCTAATTTGAGGCATGGGGTGTCCCAGCTAGCATATCACCACCAAGAAGCTGTGTTGTATTCTTTTCTTCATTGACAGCACAGACAGCAACACCCATTGTTCTTATATCTAGAGCCCATCCTGTTTGGACCTGCCTTCTCTCTCTCAGTAGAACAACAGACTCAGAATTGTGGGGAACCTCAAGAGATCATCTAGTCCATCCCCCACTCTGTTCAGGTATACCTCAACCACCCTGACAGATATTTGTCTAACCTCTTCTTAAATACCACCTATCACAATAATTGTACAACCCTCCTCCCCCGAGGCTACGTCTAGACTGCAAGCCTTTTTCGAAAGATACTTTTGAAAAAACCTCTTTCGAAAAAGAGCATCTAGACTACAACCAGTACTTTTGAAAAAGCAAGCCGCTTTTTCGAAAGAGAGCACCCAGGCAGTCTGGATGCTCTCTTGAAAAAGCACAGTTTGCATTACATAGTGCCTTTTTTCAAAAGAGCACTTTTGAAAAAAGGCATTCTTCCTCGTAAACGAGGTTTTCCGCAGTCAAAAAAACTGCCGTGTTCTTTCAATTTACTTTCAAAAGAATGCAGCAGCAGTCTAGAAGCAGGGGAAGTTTTTTCGAAAAAAGGCCACTTTTTTCGAAAAAATCCTGTAGTCTAGACATACCCTCAGTAATCTGTTCCAGGACTTAAATATCTGTCTGGGCAGAAAGTTTTCCTACTATCTCACTTGAATTTCCTTTGCCACAAACAAAATGATTACATCTTGTGCTACCCTTTGCAGACACAAAACAGTTGATCATCATGTAATTTCCCTCTTTCTGACCAAGCTGACCTCTTTCTGTACAAAAACAAGAGGTATGGCCCTCAAAGTGCAAGCAGCAGGATGGGCTAGCCACCTAAGTGTGATCCCACCTGAAGCCCTATATACATTCTCCAGTGGCCATCCTCTCACTCATGTTGCTACTGCTACACTCCTAGTATTGAGTGTTAGCTCAATCAGAGCTAGTGCTGTTATGTCCACCCAAGCTGGCAATTATACCTCCAGCTCCCCCGTGGACATGCACATGGGTCTTTTCTTTAGAATAATACCCAGTTCTTGCAACCTTTCCTCATAGGTCCTGTTTTCTAAACCGCCTATCTCTTGTTCTCTGTGTTCTCTTCAGTTTGCCCACATCTTTCCTAATAGTGTAGCACCCAGAATTAGACACAGTACTTCAGCTGAGGCCTCACCAGTGTCAAGCAGAGCAGAACAACTGGTGCCTTACATTTGATGTGAGTATTTCCCAGAATCACATCTGCCTTTTTTTTCCAGTTGCATCACGTTTGACTCATTTGTGATTCATCATGAGCCCCAGAAAAAGTGAAAGGTGAAAAAGACTGCAGAAATCTCACAGAGATTATTAAAAGGGTTATTTGTAATATGCAGGAGAGGGAAGTCAAAAGAGAATAATAAAAATACAGTTGTTTTTTTAGAGTCCATTATTTTATCCCCCTGCCAGCAGTCCCCAGCAATCAGCCCTTCCCCCTTTCTCTCAGCATCTCTCTCCCCCATTTTCCCCCCAGCCCACTGCAGATCAACTGTTCAGGAGGTGCCATGGGGAAAGGGGGAAGAGTGAGGGTGGAACCCAAGAAGTAG